TCGTAAATCGAGTAACGTTTTGTGGGCGGATGAAGGATCGGTAGAAATTTAGAAATCGGTAGGAATCGAGAAACAGAGTCTTTTAGAATTTAAATCAAGAAAAGTGCTTTATTCCAGGAAGCGAGATACCGAGAACGCACGTCTAGTCTACACGGAGACAGCCGGACAAGTCCCGGCTTCTCGTTGACCGCAGTCGCTCAATCTATCGCTTCTGTCCTCGCTTGTCATCGTGTTTATTAGTCATCGTGTTTGTTATAGGCCCGGTTTTTATACTTGTTTACGACTTATGCCTTTACGTAACGACGGAATTTTATTTTTTTCGTTTGCTCGCTGGATTTTTAATCTTTTTCGCCGGTTAACGATTCGGGGTAGTGGCGATGCAATCGCTACAATATATATCCAAATATATATTTATATTTGTTGGATGAAAGATATATGTTTATATTTGTTGGATATCTAAAAACTATTTTAATTTTAAAGAACCAAAAATGATATTTGATAGTTGTGTATAGATCTCGGAAATTACACAAGCGACGCGGCAGAAATAAATCTCTATCAATTCTTATTAATTGAATCGCGGATACTTGTAAGACAGTTAATCGACACGAGTCCAATTTGATAATATAAATGTTTTACCATAGAAAACTTAATATTAGAGGACGTTTTGTATTTGTGTCTGAGCGAAAAGTGAATTCTAATCGATTCGAAAAGTGATCGGAGCAGTTATCATTAGTGGCATCTATAATTCCGAGTATTAGCGAAATCTCACCATAATTCGAATTTGCTAAACGATCTTTAGAAACATATAATACCATACAAATAAGATATTAAGATAATATGAAACACATTGTGTTTAAAAAGATCTACATATTATAAATTTAAGGCATAAATTTATAGCATGACTATGAACATATATGTTTCCTGTTCTTTCCTTGACTTTAATTATCTTAAAATTACTTTTTACCTATTTTTAGAGTAGTATTTGATCCTACTAATTATATATAAACGTCTTAAACTAGTAGTAACGCTATCAATATTTTTTTGTCTATTTTTATCTAAATATAAGAAGGCTTTCTAATGTCCATACGTTTTTTTTTATAATAAATTGAAAATCAGAAAATAACAATGGAAATATCATGCTGCTTTTGTATACTTTTACTGTATAAACGCGTTAAAAAAAATTTTAGATTGATGTTTTATCAAAATTGTGTGCAATTGTATATAATTTTCTTCTTTTTTCTATATCGCTTGGTAACACCAAGTGCCGTTAATGTCATTTTTATTAGCTTAAACTGTAGCTATTAAAATGATTTTTTAAAAATAAAGAGTGATAAAAAGAGTAATCAAAATTTGATGTTTTTAAGTTAGATACGGTAATTAAAATGTTAATAATGTTACGTCGTGTTACGATATTACCGTTAGCACATACCATTTGCAAAGACTTAATATTTGATTCATATTTATTCAAAATGTAAATCGTGTTTTATGTTACGGTACTTTACTGATTCGCAAATTTACTTTCATATTTAATAATCAATTATTCTTGTAAAAGTAATAAACGAGTAATCAAGTTTAATTGTAAATAGTGTTTAATTCCATAACATTATTAATGAAATAATATTAATGGAGTACATATTTAAATCGACAGGGCGAGCAACATCGAATATTTCATATAGAAATTAATTACATAAGATGATTTATAATTATGATACAATACTTTATTGATATAATAAAATTACTATTAACAAAATCTTATGTAATAATAATGTTGAAAACATTAATTTCTTCCTCACAAAAACACAATAATATTTATATAATTTTGAGTTTATTCGCTATAAATATTATAAATCGATCGTTTATCGTATCACATTAAATGCATAATAATTCTCATTAAAACACTCTCACAGATGTCTACACATATTTCTTATCATCCTGACTGCTAATATAAATCCATCTAAAACTGTTATTTTATCTTCTTTTTTTTAACTGATTTAAATTATGACGTGCAGAGGATATAATTCACTTAATGAAAATTCCATTCGTCTTTTATTAAAACTTTCTCGTAAGTTCTCTTATATACATATATGTATATATAGATGCATGTATAAGTTTTTGATCAAGTATTAGAATCGTCGATAATCAATAATATCGCCGTATACATAAATATATGTATCAGTATTATCAACTACCACACTGTGAGTAAATAAAAAATTGATATAAGATGCAATATTAAAACTGCAATGTAACTGTCGAAAGGAATAAAGATTTTCTCTTGCTATATAATAGAATAGTTATCAATCAAATTTTACAATGTCACACCATTTTTCAATGGCACTGGCAAATTTCGTGTGAAAGTTTCAATTAGGTATAATCTATAAAGCAGCCTCTAATCGTTTTATTTCCTTGGAGATCTCCGTTTTCCGTCCGACTTTGTCAAGGATCTCTTTATCGGGATTTTTCAGAGCACCAGTTTTGATTTTATCCTCTAACACTTCTATTTCCCTAATTTTTTTGCGAAGATTTTTTAATCTCTTCTGCGGATCGGCTGTCGTTTTCTGCACGATGTTTAAATTGTCCTTAATTGCATTATTTGTTGCAGTTTGTTTTACAGTAGACAGCGGCTTGTCACCGTGAGTTGGAACTTCCTTGTGGAATTCGGGCTCTGAGATCGTGATTTTGGACAACCCCTCGGCAACAGGCTCGAGACAGGCTTTAGACTTGTTCTTCTTCTTCTTCTTCTTAGATCCCTCTTGGGCTTTCGCTTGCGTACCGGGTATCACTTTGTTTTTCGCCGCCAGAGCCTCCAGCTTGGCTTTATGTTCCGCTATAAATTCTGGACTGGCGCCCACAGGGTATAAAGGCTTCTTTACCAATTGCTTTCCTTTACTTTCGTACCTGCGAAACAAAATAACAGAGCAATTGGAAGAAGTGAAAAACAAAGTCGGTAAGTGTGATATTAAGATATCAAAGAACACATTGCGATTACTCACAGTGGAACCTCTTCCTGAGGAATATATCCATCTTTCACACGTCGTTGCTTCCGCCACGTACCGTCAGGTCGTTGGCTCGCTGGGATAAACGTACCTAAAATAATAACCATTCATGAAAATCTCGACTAGCAAAATATTAGCGCGTTAGCATTTATAACCGCGAGAACATTTCAAGTATTGTGCATTCAATTTAAGAAAAAAATAATCGCACTGTATGCGGTCGACGCAATTAGTACGAAAATTCTAGTGGGATGATCAAAGTCTGGGGACACGCCGCGGCGTTCGGGACACGTGAAAAGCCCATGAGGTAGACCGTCTAACTATAGCACGTGAGAGAAAGAGCGGTCTATTATTACGCGAAACTGATCGTTTTACACTTGTTTACACACGACTGAGGTTAGAGCCGGCGCGTAACTCCGGCGCGGGTACGCTCGCCCGGCGACGTAGCGAGCGTGTTTGATCCTTACCCGTCTCGTCCTTGATGTAAGTCGACGCCATCGCAATTGTCTCGCGAGAGCGCGCGTCCGCGAAAAATATAAATAAATGTAAAAAGTGTCCTCGACTATCCGCGTGCCATCCTGCGATTTCTTGTGTATCGTACGAAGAGCGGAGCGGAGCACCCGGGTCTTCTCCGCTCCGGTCCGGTGGCGTATGAGTTCGATAGTGATCTCGCGCAGCGCACCGGTAGATGTCACCAGCAGCCCGGATTTCGAGTCGCGGACGTCGCGGTCCCGCGCAGGTTTACTTTACGCGTGATTTCGTGTAGGAGCGGTCGACTCGCGCGTAATCGTCAGATCTCGGATTCAATCTCGACGTAGTCGCTCCGTATTGTGAGATTGGTGGGCCTTTTTCCAAATTGAGAAGAAAGTTGTATTCGCAAAGATTGAAAATTTGAACAAAAATTATAATTATAATTAATACGACCTATAGTGAAAAAAATTCTTTCCTAATTAATATTTCATATTTTAAAAATTTATGAAGTTTTCTAAAAAAAAATACCCTAAATTTCTTTTAATTTTATTAAGATGTTCTTCGGAAATTATAGAATGAGAGATCTTAAAATATTTTTCAGAAATTACATATACCATACATATAAAGAATATACAAATGATAGAAAAATATAGACTTTCTCAAAACATTTCTGAAAAGTGTTTTAATTTGTAGTAAAAAATCTAGAAAATTTTTTAAAAAGTTACAAAGTTTATAATAAAATTCTAAAAAAAAATTTGAAGAATTCTAAGAAAATTTTTTATCAAGGAGTTTAAGAAATTACAGCTAAAAAACTATAGATAAGCCAATAAGATCAATTTAAAGGATTTTATCCTAAGCTTCGTCTTTCTCTTACATATAATACTTACATATAATACATATATTTTAATATAAAAAGTGTGATTCCGCATGAGTCTGAATCTGATTACAGGTCTGATTCCGGCTCAAAACGAGAGCTCTATTTTACTAATTGTGCGATTGCCGACACAGAATGTTTTCTAGAGATCGGGCGCCAGTGCACTTTCTCTCGTTCGCGAATTGCCATGAAGACAGTTAGAGTTCTTCTCCTTAATGAATTTGAACGAGAACCTTAACTTTTTATAACTGTCAGCGTAAATTTAGAAATACTTTGAAATACGTATATGCTAGTGTATGCTCCGCAAGGAAAACGTAAATTTAATAAATATATTTTTAATATAAAATATTGTAAATAAAATATTTTATATGTGTATATAAGAAATAAAAACGTTTTCTTTAGCAAAAATAATATTATAAAGTTCAAGCGTTCTATAACTCATTTATAATATTTGTATATTTCTTTAAAAAATTTCCTATATTAAATAAAAAACAAAAATAATACAAATGAACAGTTTAACATTTTGATCAGAGAAATGTATATTATGTTTCACATCTCGCATATGTATACATGTATTGTTTCAGACTATCCATATCACCTTTTTTCTCGGAAATGGGTGGAAATAGTCGGAAGTTGGAAAAAAATCTTCATTACCTATCTGACTTATCTCAACTATCTGTCTATCCGAACTGTCTAATAGTGATATATTTTGGTTTTTCGAAAATTACTGAAAGTAGGATAAATCTGGATCGAGTTTGAAATTTTAAGGAACATAGGTCGAGTGAGGTATCGTTGGATAAGTTTTTTAAAAATAAACAATTTCTGCTTAAACTTTTTTTTTATATTACTTCCAGTTTATAAGAATAATAATAAGAAAATGTCATTAATTGTCATTCATTTTTCCTAGACATCAAAAGTTATCGGGGATTTTAATTGAAGTTTTGACCAACTTTATGTGAATGGCATATGTGGTACTACTTGTGCTTTTAGAAATAAATTGAAAATAAGGAAAACTGAAACTTTAATAGAAATGTAAGCGAGTATAAGCTATCATCCTTAACAGTGGACATAGTTATTTTTGTTTAAATTACAATTTGTAATATGCAGTTAGGTACACATGTTTTTTGAAAAGCAACTAGTTCTCTTTACAGCAATTGATTCATCTCATTATTCTGTGTATTAAAGTATTAAGATATGGTTATCGAAAAATGTTTACAAAATATTTTATATTTTATGTCAAAATATGTCAAATAAAACGTAAACTATCTCTTAAATTATTGATATACATATATGATTTTTTTAATAACTTTACTTTAATACTTTTATATGCAGAATAATTATGTTATATTGTGTAAAAATAATTATATAATTTTATTTTTAAAAATTACAATAACTTTACTATATATAACTTTGGAAAATTGATTTTATCATATTTGTTTCTCTTCAGGCCATATAAGAGACCTTTTTGTCTGAAACATTTTTTTGTAAAAGATGTTATAGGAAAAAAATATTTAGGTGGTGACATTAAAATTAACTACCGTATAACAAATAATACATTATATGTATAAATTGAATTTGTATATGTGTATAATAGAGTACAAATAATAAAATACAATATATAACTACAAATAGAATAAAATACTTGTCGATAATTTTTATCTCAAAAAATATATGTTTACATATATTTTAGAATAACATATAAATAAAGTTTTACGACGTTACTTTGAGTAACATTAATTTAAAATTATTACTAACAACATCAATTTTTTTTAATTTTTAAATAATAATAATAATAATAATAATAAATGTAAGCTCGTTCTTAAAAATCATTATTAAAAAAAATTAAAGATTAAATTTAACTTTAAATGTACAGAGAAAAAAAGTTTTAGACATTTTATTTATTTAAACAACGTATTTCATTTTGATCTTAAATTTTATACGAGGCATTTAGAAGACGGGCCAAGGAAATATAGAGACACGGATATGGGTATCTCGATGCCGACTCGAGGAGTCGCGAATAAGCGGTCCCGAGGGCTACCCCTCGATCTAGCCGGGCTGCTTCCGGGGATGCTGCGCGCGCGCACCGGGGGTTGCGCTCCGCTTTCATCTCGCAGTTTCGCAGCCTCCCTTTCGCGACCCGTGTCAAGTCCACCGCGGCTCGATCGGAGGTGTGTGTGCACCCGTGTCTCGTTGTTCCCCGGGTACGCCGGGACGCCTGTGGCCCGGTGCTATCGTTATCGTGGCCCCGGATCTCGATTCCTCGCGAGTTCGCTCGTCCCTCGCTCTTGTGCACCGATCCAAATGCATCGCTCCGTGTCGGAAAATGGAAACTGTAATTGGTATGTAGTCGCATAAATGAAATCCTCGTCGACCGACACCTCCGTGCGACAATCGAACAGTCAATGTTCCGATTGGGAGGAAGTAGAGCTCTAATTGCACCCCGGTTTCCCTGTACGCGTTTCCGATGCTCGTTTTCAACATCCCTCTAAAGGTCACTGGATGTTACGTGAAAAAAAAATGGAACCGCGCGGCGCGTATCGTTCAATAGATATAAGTTCAAAGGCTGGCTACTTTCTAAGGTCAGACACGGGAGCAATGCAGCGAATAAACTTAAAAAGTCTTCTGATTATGACGCTTGTACGGGAGTCCTAGCTTATGTAATCATCATTAAGCAGCGATTGATTCTAAGTAAAAGTTCATGGCGGTCAATTAATGTAAATATATTTTGTTGCATCGCATTTTGCATGAATTTACATGTGGTTTTGTTTCAGTTATATACTTGATAGAAAATGTATGGATGAATTGGGAAAAGCATTAAAACTAATTCTAAATTGTCAAAATATTGGTTTTTAAATTATTTTGGTTTAAATTATTTTTAATATTATATTTAAATCAGCATTTAAAATGTCAAATGATAGAAAATAATTATTTAAAAACATAGCATGTTTTTAAAAAATTTAGAACGCAACTATGATAAAGATAATTATAAAGATAAATTTCGGAAAAAATTATTAAACAGATATTTTCTCAAAAATAAAAAAATGTTGCTATTAATGTTCTATTAATTTTATTATTACTCTAATTTATATCACTGATTATGTATTTTTGAAGAAAAGTAGAAATAAAGTACAAGTGAAAAATATACAAGTCCATAAAACCAATTTTCTTAAAAAAAAAACAATTTATGTAAAACATAAAATTGTTTGTTTAAATTTTTGCCTTAAAAATTTGCTAAATTTGTATAGTAATGTAAAGAAAATTATATAATAATAGTTAATTTTTAGTAAATTATAAAAATTTTGTATAATTTGAATTTTTAAATTAATAAAACCAAAGAATTTAAAAGGTTTTAAAAGGGAATATTAAAATTATACAAAAATAGAATAACATAGTTCTCTATAGCATAATTTGTATATATATTATGCAATTTTATTAATTAAGGTACACCTGCAGAGAGAGAAAGAGAGAGTCGGAAAAAAGAGTAATTAATAAAAGTCTTGGTTTATTTTTTTTTTTTTAATTTTTATTTTACACTTTTTTCGTTGTTACGCTTGCCATCAAGATAAAAGTTGTAACACCTAGTTGGAGTTGCAATGCCAATTGCATAATAGTACGTGGGTAACGAATGAAAAATGCATATGTAAGCGTATAAAGCCATTCAATTTTCAACTAGCCAAGATAATTGTACCAAGCAATTTGGATTCCAACATAAATATTTTAATGACACGATCGCCTGTTGCGGATGCCTCACAGCCGGTTGAGGGTTAAAAACAGAAGAATCTAGAAGAGAGTCCCCGTGACGCCTTGAACAGCTTCACCCAAACTGCGGTCCTGGACCTTGCAGCCTCCTCCTCCTCTTCCTCCTCCTCCTCCTCCTCCTCCTCTTCTCCTCTTCCCTCCTCTCCCATTCCCCCTTTTTCATCGGACATTGCACCGATGCAGGCGAAGCGTATGAGAAACGACCGCCGCGCCAGAAGATGGGATCGTCATCCGCGGAAGGAGAAGCTGACTTATGATCCGGACTATTCGCCTGCACCGCGCTGTTCCACCCATCTCTAGAACGCAATCTGCCGCGAAATAGAATCCCGGAAAACTTACGTAATTCTGCGGCATCCTCCGTGGACTTATGAGACAATTTTTTTTATCGAAATTTCCGAGAGCAGCAGACTTGTATTAATATTATGTGAACATCGAACGAAGATATATTTATAACGAAGATTCGAACGAAGATAGATACAAAAGCAGCGAAAGAATTTTATAGAGTTCTAAATGCTTGAGAATCAATATCATGCCCGAAATACGCACACGTATCCTCACCAAATTTATGTATTTCCTTATAGCGAAATTGTTTATTTTCCTATAGCATTTCTTTTATATGGTATTTTTTTACATCAATTGCTTAACTTCGCGCTAGGGTGTTTTAAAGACTGCTAAAAACACAAAAATACAGAAGTATAATATAAGCATTTTGACCGATAAAATATTCCGCTAAAAATTTGGCAATATTAATATTTAAGTATTTCATATCACAAGTCAAAATTGTATTACGATTAAATACGTATTGCGCTCTTATAATTAAGTAACCATGTGCAGTATAAAATATTCCAATCAATAATTAAAAATTTATCAATATTAATATTGAGCATTTCGCCGGTCAAAAATTGTTTACGTGTTGCGCTTTAATAATTAAGTAACCTGCATATACAGCAGTTTACAGCGCATTTACGGGAATAGAATTAGCGCGATTATTCGCAATTATTATATACCGAGTATCTGAGAGCACTATGGGGTTGCGCGCGCGCACACGAGAGAGTCGTGCGATTTTTACTTTATACACCGCAGTCCCGAATAGGGCTTAATCCGCGATGTCACGAGTCCCCCGATGTAGCAGGCACACTTAACGCCAGATTGAACTTTATCCCCGCATACCTTGCCCCCGTTGCATAGAATGCTGCCGGCGCGGCGCGCTACTACGGTGCACTTTGCGAGACCGAAGCGAGGTCCGTCAAACAGGCCACGATGTGCATATATCGCGGCACGCAGCGGCATTATGCGCGCTACATAGCGTATCGAGTACATCGAATATCCATCGCCCGACGACGACGGCGGCGGCGGCGGCGGCGGCTGCCCCGTCGGTCGCCTGGGTGGTTCTCGCTTGCGTATGTATATCGGCACTGGCATAATCGCGGGTTTACAGCCTACATAAGACGCTTACAGTACTACAGAATCTTAAAGCGCCTATCTTCCCATGCAATATGCTCCGAGATTTCCCGTAAAATTTGATGATGACCTCTTTAGATCGCTCGTGCACGGCCCCTCTTTGGGCAAAAGATCCTCCAGTGAGAGAGAGAGAGAGAGAGACGATTAAATCCTAACTTTATAGTTGACCAAAATGTTAGATAGCTCGACGATTAAACTCTGAGCTAGAGTTCTATTAAAGAGTTGACTCAAAGTTAATTAAACTTGAAGCTTTAATTTATTTATTGACCGTATATAATATCTTCAGGGCAGGACAAAGAAATCATATCGTTTTGCGCGTTTAAGCGTTTTGCGCGGTTAAAAAATTAAATACAAATACATGACAAATATTGTATTATAAGTCTCAGATCATACTTTTAATTAACTAGAAACAAAATTTGTTGCAGTAACGCATCCAGATTCACAGCCAGAAAGAGAAGAATAAATTTCACGACAGACGGCCATGCGAATAGTGAAAAGGCAAACGATAAAGACGAGGAAAAGAGGATCGAGTAAATGCTGCAGATGAAGAAGATTGTCATTTCGTAATTTTTCCCAAATGTGATTTGTAAGCCGCTACTTTTTTCAACGTATTATTTGACAGCCGAAGCAAGACAAGCGACAGAAATTTACGCTTGACAATGTGAGGAAAGATTCGGGACAAATTTATCCTCTTTATCGTCATGTTTTTAACATGACATTTGATATTACTACCGTTTAAGACAAAGGTGATAAAACGACGATCTCATACCGCATCAATAGTCTAGTACTCTATTCGTGTAAACCTGTTGAAATGACATGCGTAGGCAATTGTTTGTATATGTACATATATATACACATACGTACGTGAAAATGTAAGGCTTCTATGTTTCCGATACATTGATCTATCGGCGAGCAATTTCTGCGTGTCTTTCGCAACTGTTTTCATCATTGAAACGAGAAAGAGAGAAAGAGAGGAAAACTGAATTAAATGCAATAGATTGACTCAGAATTGAATTAGTGTTCAGTAAAATGTAAAAAGGGACAAGAAAGTAAGGAGAATCAGAATGATCGTGGAAAGGAAAGACCAAACGCACGCGTAACGTAAACCAGCCGGTCCAGCTTCATTTTTCGCGCTCATCCTCCCCGATCGGCGCGAATTCGCTTGAGCCGCTTGGATCTCTTGGTGATGCATCGTCGAGCACGAGCGAGATGGCAGAAACGATGGCAGACAATCGTACAACGTACGACGGGGCAGGAAAGCTGAATCTCACGTCGATGACATTCCTTCCTTCCAACGTGGTCGCGGCCGCGTTTAACGCCGAGACGACTAATCCGTCCGCAGCGATGGCGGGCGACCCCGCGGCCGTCACTACCATCAAACCGCACCATCGCGTCTACAACGCGACGGAGTATCTCGTCGAGCAGGACGAGCTCGATCACAGTAAGTAGCACGGTGTATCGCGAAGAAAGCTGTAAGGCTCTCGTTAAAGACAACCAAAGTGGGTGGCGTCGCCTCTTCACGGTCCGAATTTTAATTAATTATATACATTCGAAAGGTTGAGACGTTGGATTTTCAATAAAGTCGCCGTTGAAGTATCTCGATTCTATTTCGAAGTTGGCCGTTTTTTTAGAAAATCACTTGAGAAATATCGTCTAGCGGAGCTATAAAAGTTTAAACGAAAATATGTATTTTCAAATAAAATTTGCGTAATTTTTTTAAATAAAATCAATCTTTTACATCTGACGAAAATTCAACGGAAAGTTTAACTGAGAAAATTGAGTTTATCCCGAGGAAAGACGAATATAAAAAAAATATTTCTATTTTATAACTGAGAAAACTGATTTTATCCCGAGGAAAGACGAGTATAAAAAAAAATATTTCTATTTTATAAAGTTTACTGGTTTGTTAACTTTTCCATTTATAAAATGCAGACTGAAAGCAGATTCTTGACTTGTTCGACAGTATTTTTGTTATAAAGAAATCGTCATGTCCTTATCCAGTTATGCCGCGAAAAGGATTTGAAATAAACCGAGATACCACCGGCCACCGGTGTGTAGAATTTATACCAGCGTTGTTGTGAGATAATCGTCATAGATTTACGTACATCCGTTTCCGTTGATACACTGTACGCGCATTAAGCTTTGACAGGATAATCATACGAAGGGATTACAAGCTAGTAAAAGATTCAAGTTATTATCGTACTTTCGCTTCAAGAATTTTATGATTATTGTATTTCAGGTATCCTTGCCAACTTTTCAGACATACAGACCGTTTTGCTTGCATGCATATCGACGTTATTACCGCTGATCATCGCCTTGGGGATCGCTTTCGGCGTCAGGTATGCTAATTCTTGCTTATTGCGAAAGAGATTCACCATCCGCGGTGCCGGCCGGTTATTCCTTTTTTTTCCTTTTCGGTTTTTTTTTTTCAATGCGTACAGCCAGCTATAAGTTTTTCTAATATGCGTTTATCAGGCACGTGTGGCGAAAGTATCGAAACGACAGAGACAGCGGGAATGGTCTGCCCTGGTACAAGAACGTCTGCAACCGCGATAATGCAGTCGAATCGCAACATCATCATCCGCATTCCGGAAACGTTCCCGTTGAGGCCGCCACGAGGGTCCTCTCCGCACAAGACGTAAGTTAACGAGTTTTTAACAACCTTTGCAAAACGCGCCAGGAAGATCGTACACGGATGTAGGGAGTTCTTGTATGAATATAGAATATCATTACCAATCTCTCATCGAGCCGTTCCTCCTTTCTTTCGGTCGAACGAAAGAACGGGCGCGACGTAGAACTTGATAGCGCGTCAGATACAAATTTTCTCCTTCATCCATGAAATTACTAAGTAATTGTATCAAGAATGTGAACCGTGTTGTAGTAAGAGGAAAAAAGACTTACTTATATAGACTATTGATAAAACCGCGCGCGAGACCTCTTTGCTAATTGGGGCAAGATTTTTTTCGTGAATCGCGAGAGAAAAAGCGCGGGTAACTTGAGAGGAGATATGCTATGGGGAAAGGTGCTATGTGAAGCTATCTCGACGTGAATACGTTATGAACTTTAATAGAATCGATATCAGCCCGTTTGATCCTCGTATGCATGCTCGATTAGCTTACATAACACGGTAACCACGCAAATACCGTCGGCCTTGGTTTAAATCTTGATGCTGTGCCGTAATAGGATATGCGGCAAACATTTACGGAACTTGTGCCCCAGATTGCACAACGGGGACGTAAGGATGGGTTTCTGCACGAGTTATACGTACTGTACGTACAATTGTCACGGTTGTTGCGCGAGCCGGAGTCCTGGCGGCTCCCTACCGGGGAGCTCACCGATCGCACGTGCAAAGCGGCAGGCATTATAGCGAACCGGAGGTTCGCCAAAATCTATGGCTACGGACGTACCGTTATAACGCTTTGCATTTAATAGCGATGCATCGCCGCGCTGTTGCGCCCATTCGTCTCGCTTGACCCTTTCGTCGGCGAATTTCTTCCGGCTAAAAACCTCCTCGTAAAGTATCATAACGCTCGCGACTGTATTTCAATTCTCGCCGATAATTGAGCCGTAATACTCGATAAATTCAGTCTCGCTCGAAGTTTCGTTATATTTTATAACGCTATTGATTGAGTTAGAATTTTAAAGAAAACCGAAATGTTATGTTGTAAATGACTTTAGTAAAGTCTCCATCAATTTTCTGAAGAAATTTAAGATCAAAATATTGTCTTAAATTCTATATTTCGCGTATCGTTACCAAATAGATAATTTTTAGAAGCGTAGATTAAGAATAGAACAGAAAAATAATTTATTTCCTTCAACTTACATGCCAAGAATTGATTTATACTTTCCAATATACTCAACCACACAGTTATTTAACAATATAGTTTACATAATATACTCAACCACATACATCAATTTATGTATTATAAATTAAAGACTTATTAAAAATCTAGCAACTAACATACCTAAATCACTGCTCGCATAAACTTTTCCTATTATATGACTTATCTAACAGAGCTTTTCATTTCTTATAACTTTTCCTTGTTATTTAAAATTGAAACAATTCGGCCTTCATGTTGATATAATTCATCGATTTGCAAGACTTGTGAATCATATTCTTTAATTATTCGAAAATTTTAACGATAAAAGAATTAAATTTATTCATTCTTTATTCGCTATCTTATTTTTCTCTCAAGTTATTTGTCATTTTCCTTTTCTTTGCAATATTTCTTTGAAAATTTTAATTTTATGTAGTATAGTTAAAAATATCCTCTTGTTTATTAAAGACTCTAAACTTAATTTATAATCACCCGTTATATTATTATAAACTCTAACAGAATTCTAATTATGGATAATTATCTTATATAGATTTTTTTAAGTGAAACACAAGCGGAGCATTTTTTTGGAAATTCATGAAACTTATTAATCTACACCGGATATAATTAGATCTTGAATAAATGATACTGTGAGGCTGCAAATCGAGAAAATGGTAAGAAGAAGAAGAAGAAACATTAATTTAAATTAAAGATGTTAACAATGCTGGAGAATTCGCAAAGTTTGTTCAAGTTGATTCATAAATATCCGAGATCCTCTAATTTTACCAACTCCTATAATTTGTATTTTCTGTCATATTTGCAACTGTCCTTCGTGGCCAGCCGACAGAATTATAACGAATCGCGTTCACGCATTGTGCACGTGGCCAATAAATTCGCATTTGCTGAGCAATACGTAGAGGAATCCATTAACTTTGCCTACCAATTGACGACGCACGCGGTGCATATTGTTCAAGCTGCGTGTTGTACGCCGCGGGCAAGCGTGCAACGCTCTTGTGTGTAGGCGAGCACACGTTGCAAACGCCATAGCGCACGCATATACTTTTACACATGTGTATATCACGCACACGTTATTATTTACGTATGTGCGTATATGACTCAGCCAAAAATACCGTACGTCTGCTCGGAGAACTGTGGGATTGACCTGATTTTAATTTCGTGCATATGCCATCGCGATAACGGCGTTTAGCTGAATTTTTCAACGTTTTCACGCCGACGTGTGTTTACGCGTAAATTGCTTTCGTTTCTATTCTCTCGTTTCGTCGAACCCACCACCGCACCGGTCGCAGTCGCGGCGTGGCAGATGCAAATGTCGGCGCACGCGAAGGTCAAGAAAAATATATTCCGTTATCTCGATATATTATACCTAGTGCGTTGCTAACTCTTGAACGAGAATGCAGGGACACACGTGTGTATAATAAGTATTGTATATAAATAATTTATTATATAAATATCTCATTCATCGATTAAACAAATGTAAACAATATCATAGATTTTTTTTTTTAAAAGAAGAAGAAAAGGAAAAACAGAAAGACAATAGACAACGCTTATGTCATTGTTTCTTCTTTCCCAATAATTGAATTTCAAAATATCGTTAAATGTTAATTTTAATTATAAATATTTATCTTGTTGGCTATAAACGATTATCTTAATCATTCTTATTAACAGTAATAAATTCTGTACAAATGATTGCGTTTAACGTAATCGAAAATACAGTCAATCGATTTTAAGTAAAGCCAAGAAGTGTAAATGACTGTAAACGACAAAAGTCTAATAGAATTAAGCGGAGCTCCCAAAATTGAAACGTTTCAAATCGAGAGAGAGAGAGAGAGAGAGAGAGAGAGAGAGAGAGAGAGAGAGAGAACTTTTTATTGCAAAAGGTTAACGGTGACGTTGCATAGCATATGTCGAATAATGGCGAAGAAAGCGTCGCCCACTAATGAAATATATTATACGCCTTTCTTTACCACTGTTCGACTGCCTCTTCTCCCCTCCTC